GAATATATTCATGCACGCCTACATCTATCACTAACATTGTTTGGATAACATAACATTCACAGAACTAAACGTAAACAAAGTTATTACAGTTCGTGTATATAGCAGAAGTTCTGGTAGATAATAACAACATCATAATTGTTCATTCGCGTGTTTTCTCGCGCGACATTCGTCATCAACGTACGATAGCGTCAAACTAACATAATCATCAATTCTATATTGCCGTGTATTATATCATAATTTATCGATTACATTCGTCTAACACCCGGATTCATTCGCCTAGACAGTGGTCAACGAAATACTAGCGATTAAAATAACAATGATAATCTAATTCAATCATCAATATCAGCGATAATTATTATAATAATCATAATAGGATAATTCATTGTGTAAATTATATAATTTGTTCACGCTCTATTTTTCACTCGCGAGGACATAACTAAACAAATGCGCACGCTACTCGCCACTACAAGTTAATTCATCGTCTGTGCAAACTACTCGAGTGTATCGTGCGAAATTTACACTTCTCTCTACTCCGATTTATAACGCCCAAGCGAGGTCACAGGCACTTGGAACCTCTCAATAAAAAAATTGTGGTAAATAAACACGAAATGTATTTACTACCAAAGTCTTAATGTTTCATTACTCCCTTTCGCGTATTATTGCCGATGACTTCCTGGAAATGCCGCTCAGATGTTCCGCTGCAACACATGAGTACACCGCACGCACGCCGCTGCGCACAAACAACAAGAATAAAAAGTGTTACTTTGTTCTCTTTATTCTCTTTACTCTTATACTTTTTATTTATGTTGTTATACTTCTTATTTATGTTTAATCTCTTTATTGTCGTTGTTATGCTCCTTATTCATCTTTATAATCTTTATTCTTAATGTTTGTGCACAGCGGCGTGCGTGCGGTTATACCTTTGTGTTGTAGAGGAGCATATGAACGGCATTTACAGGAAGTTATCGGCAATAATAGGCGAAATGGAGTAAAGAAACATTAAGACTTTGGTAGTAAATACATTTCGTGTTTATTTACCATATTTTGTTGTTGAGACGTTCCAAGTGCCTGTGGGCGAGGTATTGCTGACGGATATATGCGTATTAATAGTTGGTGCGTGGCCACTAGCGACATCTATATGTTGTAATGGGAAGCTAGTACTGAGTCAGCTTGTTGTCGACGTCCATGCCTTCGGCAGCCGATTCGCGGGGAAACTTGTTGCGGTGCTGCATCTCTTCAGAGCTCGCCTGACTAAACTCGTTTATCTTCTTACTGCTGCAATGTCG